TTTAAGAATAAAAATAATATAGTTTTTTACACATAAAACTATTTTGTTTTCAGAGAACAGGGACACAGCATCTCCATTGATTGTGTGGGACGCATTGAGAGGCTATATTAGAGGTATGTGTCTGAAGAAAGTGGCAATTATTAAACATAATACAAGGAAGTGGGAGACAAAAGCAAGGCAAAGGGTGATCAAAGAAGAGGCAGAATACATAGAGAACCCAAATAGTGAAACAGAACAGAGATGGTTAGAAGCACAACAATTTTATCAGGGTGCGGCTATAAGAAAGGCTAAAAGACGTTCTCTAGTGCACAAACCTCCTTTGAAAAAGGGGAGAGAACAGGACACTTATTGGCAGCTATTGCTAAATCTCAAAGGACTGGCACACATATACCGGTATTGGCAGTAAATGGAGAGTATGGTTACAGACACTCCATCAATAGTACAGGGGTTTAGGTGGTATTATGTGGATCTTTATAGCACTGAAATGGTAGATGACAACCATGAGTCAGACAGATGGCTAGAAAAAAGTACGGTACCAACTTTAGGGGCAGAGGATAGAGACCTCCTGAATACTCCATTGACACTAGAAGAAATACAGAGGGCAGTATCAAGCTTCCCTAGTTCAAAAGCTCCTGGGAGTGATGGGGTATTAAAATCATGAAAAGATCCATCCTAGGTAGATTCATAAGGCCAATATCATTATTGATGACCGATCTTAAAATATTAGCTAAAGTTTTGTCCATTCGTTTGTCGAAGGTTATAGCAAAATTAGTACATCCAGATCAATCTGGGTTTATACCAGAAAGGTTGACGGCTGTAAATATATGTAGAGTATATTTGAATATTCAGGTCCCCTCTGATAATATGGGTGAAAGGGCTATGCTATCTTTAGATGCCGCTAAGGCATTTGATAGCGTCAAGTGGCAGTATTTATGGAATGTATTGAAAAAATTTAATGTAGGTGAAGAATTTATTGAATGGGTGAAATTATTATATCAATCCCCTGTAGCTCGATTAAGAATGAATAACGTTTTATCAGCTCCAATTAGACTAAGCAGGGGGACAAGGCAGGGATGCCCATTGTCCCCCTCTTGTTTGCATTGGCATTGGAACCCCTGGCCATAGCCATATGTGGCGATAGCCAGGTGGTGGATTTTAGGAGAGGTGAAAGGAGGAAAAAATAGCTTTATATGCAGATGATGCTCTATTGTCGTTAGGAGATATGACATATAGCGGTATAGAATGCATAAAGTTAAAAAACCTGGGGCCTTTAGAACCACTTCAAGGCCCACATACGACAGGCCCAACAGGCTCAGTTTTAGGTATATAACTGTTCCACCATGTCCAAACATTTAGCATTGGCGATAGAGTGCTTGAACTGATCCCAGTAGTTAGGGCTAAATTCAAGGCAACATGGAAAGGGCCCTATGAAGTTGTAGAGGGGGTTAAGGAGGTGAATTATAAAGTAAACCAGCCAGGTAAAAGAAAGCTGTACAACATATATTGGGTAAATTTAATCAACACATGGAAGGATAGAGTGTCCCTCACTGCCCAAAGGTCTTTTGGACATTGCTAAAGAAACTTTGGAGCGGGAGGTAATCCCTTAAAAGAGTGATAGAGCACATCACCCAAATGCAGGACAGAATAGAGATGGTTATGCACATCATCAAACGCCCACTTGCAACAGGCCCAACAGGCTCAGTTTCAAGGATATAACTGCTCCACCAAGGTCCAAACATTTAGCACTAGTGAAAGAGTGTTTGTACTGATCCTAGTAGTCAAGAGTAAATTTGAGGCAACATGGAAGGGGCCCTATGAAGTTGTAGAATGGATTAGGGAGGTAAATTATAAAGTAACCCAGCCAGGTTAAAGAAACTCTACAACATATATTAAGTAAATTTAATCAACCCATGGAAAGTAATGAGTCCCTTACTGCCCAAACTCTATTACCCATGACAAGGATGGGGCCAACAATGGTGCCTGATGTAAAATTTGATTAGACCCTGTCAGTTAGCCTGAAATAGGAAGCTAACATATTTCTGCTTTGAAACAGAGGTTTTCTAAGAACCTACCAGACTAGACCAGGGTGAATGGCAATGTTCATTATGCTATTCAAAATAAAAAATTCTAAATTCTAGGTGATTCCTAGGCCTGCCCTTCCATCATACTCTCTAACTTAAATCAAGGAATGCGCTAAAACCACAAACTATTCCTAATTTAGTGTAGAAACATTAGTGCAAAAGATATATACAGTTGTGGCCAAAATTATTCAACCCCCACTGAAATTGAGTGTTTTGGCCAGTTTGACATTGCTTTTGATCATTCAGTCATCTTGCTTACATTTACATTAAAGAGGCACTTGTGTCAACAAATATAACATAACAGTTTATAATAAATAACCACAAATGTCTTTTCTGTGCTCACAGCATTATCAAATTCAACCCCCAAGTGACATTCAATCTTAGTACTTAGTACAGCATTTTTACAGTTATAACAGCTTTCAAACGTGAAGCATAGCTTGACACAAGTGTCTTGCAAGCGATCACGGGTATCTTCGCCCATTCTTCATGGCAAAGGCCTCCAGTTCAGTCACATTCTTAGGCTTGCGCACTGCAACTGCTTTCTTTAAGTCCCACCAGAGTTCTCAATCGGATTTAAGTCTGGTGACTGCGATGGCCACTCCAAAATGTTCCAGCCTTTCCTCTGCAACCATGCTCAAGTGGACTTGGAGTATGCTTGGGATCATTGTCCTGTTGAAAGGTCCAACGTCTCCCAAGCCTCAGGTGTGTGACGGACTGCATCACGTTTCCATCCAATATCTCCTGGTACTGAAGAGAAATCATGGTACCTTGCACACGCTGAAGCTTCCCTGTACCTGCAGAAGCAAAACAGCCCCAAAGCATGATTGACCCTCCACCATGCTTCACAGTAGGCAAGGTGTTCTTTTCATCAAGGCCTTGTTCTTCCTCCTCCAAACATAGCGTTGATCCATGGGCCCAAACAGTTCTAATTTTGTTTCATCAGTCCACAGAACACTATCCCACAACTTTTGTGGTTTGTCCACATGGCTTTTGGCATACTGCAGTCGACTCTTCTTATTCTTTGGAGACAGCAAGGGGGTACGCCTGGGAGTTCTGGCACGGAGGCCTTCATTACGCAGTGTGCGTCTTAATTGTCTGGGCTGAAACTTCTGTACCCACATCTGACAAATCTTTTCTCAGTTCCTCAGCAGTCACACGGGGACTCCACTCTCTCCACTCTACGCTTCAGGTAGCGCACAGCAGTCGAAGTCAGCATCTTCTTTCTGCCACGACCAGGTAGCGTTTCAACAGTGCCCTTTGCCTTGAATTTGCGAATGATGCTTCCTAAGGTGTCTCTTGGTATGTTTAACATCTTTGCAATCTTCTTATAGCCATTGATTGCCCTTCCTGTGAAGAGAAATCACCTCTTCTCTTGTCTTCCTGGACCATTCTCTTGCCTTCACCATGTTTGTAACCACACCAGTAAATGTCTAGAAGGGCTGAGTATCACAGTCATTTTAAAGCTGCCTAATTGGTGCTTATTATGCTTGATTGCTGCTCGGTGACATCCACAGGGTGTTTTCAATACCTGATGGAAAGCACCTGTATGAACCTCTGTTCACAGAGTGGTAGTCTTTAAGGGGTTGAATAATTGTGGCAATGAAGAAACCACATAAGAACCATTTACTACTGTATTACATAAACAATTGATGTCATTTTAGTTGCATTTGGGTAGTTACAACGTCCTTGTAGGATTTGATTCTGAATACAATTCCAAATGTACACTATAGTCCCTAAACCCCTTTACAGCATTGGGGGTTGAATAATTTTGGCCACAACTGTATATCTATTATCAATTAATATCAAAAAATATCAAAATTATGTGCAAAACATAAGTAATTTAAATAATTAAATTTGTGAATATAAAAAAACAAAAATGTCCAATTCTGAATTTCTTCAAATGTCCAAACAAATCCTTTTCAAATTCAGGTGCTCTCAAAGAAATTGTGCCAAAATCCACCACCAAAAGTAAAGTTGGGTAACTCACCAGAGCTCCATGCTGATCAATCTCTAGATCAGCAAAAAAACGCTTTTTCTCTGGGAGCAGATGCAATGAATCAACTTCTCAGGTGTGATGATCAATAGCTACACATTCATCCATAAGGTAGGTATCCACCACTCAATATAATTGAGTGGTTATATTGAGTGGTGGATATATACTCAGTTATATTGAGTGGTGGATACCTACCTTATGGATGAATGTGTAGCTATTGAAAAAAACCTCTCTAGGGAATACACACCAAACAAAGCATGTGCAGACTTGCATCTGCTGCTCTAAATTTGACAGATGGATTGGGGACAGCAAAAGAAGGGGAGAATCAGAGAAGACAGGATCAAACAGCCTTTTTACACAATGCGTAGGATTAACCCCTTCCACAGTGACCATAACAAGCATGCTTTACTGCATATACAGACTGATTTTACTGTTGTGGGTTTAGTAACACTTTAATACCAGTGACTAATGCTAGGTACATGTGAGAAGTGTTTTTCATTCAACCCAGCAGGTTGAAGAACAAAACTAAATAAATACTAAAAAAAAAAACTAAAAAAACTAAAAAAAAAAAAAAAAAAAACCTAAACAAAAACTAAAAAAAAAAAAACTAAATAAAAACAAAAAAAAAAGTGAGAGGTTGCCCTACTACAACTAAACGATGTTAGTGCGGCAATCTCCGCTGCTAGAGCTATTGTATTCTGACAGGGGGACTACCATTGGCTGCCAGCTCTGATTGGATGCTGGTTTTCCAGCATGCCCATTCGACAGAATGTCAGCCAGTTTTTGATGAACCGATGAATATTCGTCCTGTGTGTACTAGCCTTTCCACTGGAGGGGTTTCTGAATGGCTGATCTAATGATTGTATTCTATCATGGAAAATACCATATTTTTCACTCCATAAGACGCACCTAGGTTTTAGAGGCGAAAAACAAGAAAAAAAATATTCTGAACCAATGGACTGCAGACATAGTACAGGGAATGACCAGAGACTGCGGACACAGTACAGGAGATGACCAGAGACTGCGGACACAGTACAGGAGATGACCAGAGACTGCGGACACAGTACAGGAGATGACCAGAGACTGCGGACACAGTACAGGAGATGACCAGAGACTGCGGACACAGTACAGGAGATGACCAGAGACTGCGGACACAGTACAGGATATGAATGGCCCGGCGCCTTCTGGGACCTGTCATGTGGTCCAGTGTTTTCTGGGACATTCACAAAGCGCAGCGCATGCGCAGTGGGCACCCGGCTGTCACAGAAGCCAGCGCGGGAAGACTGTGCAGCGCTGGAGCGAGGAACAGGTAAGGCCTTGCAGGAGAGAACAGCTGAGCGGCCAGCCCGGTATTCTGACATTCTGACACTGGCCGCTTTATATTCGCTCTATAAGACGCACTGACATTTCCCCCCTTTTTTTGGGGGAAAAAAGTGCGTCTTATGGAGCGAAAAATACGGTAACTAAAGCCTGGTACACTTCCGGTCAAGTCCTGATATAACTAGGCATAATAATAACTAACTCTGATCAATAGATGGCAGCCACATCACATAACATTGCTGTATAATCCATTACAGTACATTACATACTTGAAAAGTCTTGCGAGCCAGAAGGCAGACAAAAATTCCTTATTTTATACTCTCTAATGTTGGATCGCAAACCTCTAGCACATAACTACCAATGTGATAAAATGCAAAATAAAAATATATTGAGTGTTGCGCTCTCAAACCTTCAATCAATACATGATTATTTAAATCATTTAATTATAAAAATTACAATAATTAAGAATGATGTGTGTGAACAAACACAAATTGTAACAATCTTATACTCTGAATCTTCTGAATCAACTCAGATAAACCATGTGCATGGAACAGTGATGAACAAACAAATATAAAATAAAATAAAAATAAAAAAATGTCCCAAAAAGTGACTTTGTGCTGAAAAATCTTCAATAATTATAAATCGGTGACTGCTTGTGAATCCTCCCTCAAGTGAAGATATGTGCTCACCTCATAGGAAGCCTGCAATTAGGCTATATAAGCTTGCGGTTCACCTCCTTTGGAACCTGCTTGTTTGGAACTCCTGTTATAAGATATCCATGGTATACGGCATATGCTATGGAATGAATCTCCTCTCCAGAGGGTGCTATTCCTCTATGTTTTCATCTCCATGCGGTTCCGTGTGCTCTGACATGGAGAAGATCCCATGCTGGCCCTATGGTGGCCGTGTGTTCAGGATGGAGACCGATTCTGTTGGACCTTCTTGAAGCCGATCTAAAATGGCTGAAAGTGTTCCTGGGACAGGAAGTGACACAACAGGAAGATGAAAAAAGGAGATGAAAACATAGAGGAATAGCACCCTCTGGAGAGGAGATTCATTCCATAGCATATGCCGTATACCATGGATATCTTATAACAGGAGTTCCAAACAAGCAGGTTCCAAAGGAGGTGAACCGCAAGCTTATATAGCCTAATTGCAGGCTTCCTATGAGGTGAGCGCATATCTTCACTTGAGGGAGGATTCACAAGCAGTCACCGATTTATAATTATTGAAGATTTTTCAGCACAAAGTCACTTTTTGGGACATTTTTTTATTTTTATTTTATTTTATATTTGTTTGTTCATCACTGTTCCATGCACATGGTTTATCTGAGTTGATTCAGAAGATTCAGAGTATAAGATTGTTACAATTTGTGTTTGTTCACACACATCATTCTTAATTATAGTACATTACATACATTTATTTTCAACAATATGGGCAGAACACTCCCTGTCTGGCATAATTTATTATGACACTACCTATGTAACAACTGCTATGCAGAAAAAACACACAAACAGGAAAATGGAATCCTAGCTAATCTGAGACTAAAACTATAATGTCAGTTATAGGTCTAAGATAAATTCTGGCGGTCCCATTTTTTTATAATCTTGACATCTACCTTTCTAACCTTGCCATCTCTGCTTGGTAATGCATTTACAACAAGTCTTATGGGCCACTCATTCCTGCCCTCTTGGCTGTCCTTCAACAGAACAACATCACCCACTTTTACATTTGGCGATCCTTAGTCCATTACCTATGGCTCTGCAAAGTTGACAAATATTCCCTCCTCCATCTTTTCCAAAAGGTGTCTGCCAAGCATTGCACTTGCTTCCATTGCTTTGCATGAACTTGCGTTGTACTTATTTTTCCAGATGGAGCAGACAAAGAGTTCACCTTTTGAGTCAACAACATTGCTGGGGTTTTAACTAATATCTTCCAGCAAGAACATCTCTCAAAGCAATGTGAATGAAGTGCTTCAGAAGCTTTGGTACTGAAACTTGTCATTTCCAATCTGATTTCAGGGTCAACTTTGGGCTCTATGAGTGGATAAATATTAGCAGTGTATATCCTCACAGTGTGGTTGGTACAGAAAGGATGGGCCTGAGAACCATATAGAGTTCTGCAGGCATACTGCTTGAGTAGGTCTAGTGGCAAAATCTGCAGGGTTTTGCTCTGTAGATACATAGAACCACTGATCTCGGTGTGTAGATTGCCGGATTCTATTCACTCTCTTGGAGGCATACAGATAGAATCTCCTTGTGGTGTTGCAAATATACCCTAGGACAGTCTTGCTATCAGTAAAGAATTTCACAGCATCAAAGTCAGTGTCTAGTTCATAAGTGATTAGCTCAGACATTTCAACTGCAAGTACAGCAGCACACAACTCTAAACGAGGAATTGTGTGGGCTGGTTTAGGTCTTAATTTGGACTTTCCTATAACAAATCCAACATGGCACACATTTTCTGCATCAATTACTTTCAAGTAAGCCACTGCACCTATCGCTATGGTGGATGCGTCTGAAAAAATTCACAGTTCTTTCCTGCGAGCTGTTGATAGAGATATGGGAACATAGCATCTGTCTATCTTTAGGTGCTCTAACGCTTGCAAGGATTCTGTCCATTTAACCCACTCACATAGTCTCCCTTCTGGAAGCAATGCATCCCATTCACTTTTCCCAGATGACAGTTCCCGAACTAAGGCCTTTAAGGCCTTACCTTTTATTGTCACAGGTGACACAAACCCTAGGGGATCATAGAGGCTATTTACAGTGGATAGAATTCCTCTACGTGTAAAGGGCTTTTCCTCTGAAGAAACTCAGAAAAAAAATCTGTTTCTAGATCCCAACTCAGGCCTAGGCTTCTCTGCAGAGGAAGGGGTCTGTACCTAGGCAAAGATCTTTAAGATCCTTAGCTCTGTCTGCTACAGGGAAGGCTTCCATTACTCTTTGGCTGTTGGAAGCGATTTTATGAAGACGCAGATTGGATTCTACCAGCATTTGCTTTTCTTTACTGAGGATGGAAATTGCATCTTCAGGCGTGCAAGCAGAAGCGAGTCCATCATCCACATAGAAATGCCTCAATACAAAGTGTTTAGCTTCTTGTCCATAGAACTCCGCATTTTTCTGGGCAGCCTTTTGCATGCAGTATGTAGTGACAGCAGGAGAGGGCCTGTTGCCAAATACGTGCACTTTCATTCTGTACTCGACAATTTCCTTGTCTATGTCATTGTCTGCATACCAGAGAAAACGTAGAAAGTCTCTATGGTCTTTTCTGACAAGAAAGCAGTAAAACATTTGTTGCACATCTGCTGTGACAGCAATGGGTTCTTTTCTGAAGCGCATAAGGACACCTAGCAAAGTATTGTTTAGGTCAGGACCACTTAACAGTACATCATTTAAAGAAACTCCTTCATACTCTGCGCTGGAATCAAAAACTATTCTGACTTGGTTAGGTTTGTGTGGCTGGTAAACACCAAACATGGGTAGATACCAGTGTTCCCTGTCTGTCTCAATTGGTCCTGCAACTTCAGTGTGATCGTTGTCCAGCATCCTTTTAATCAATTCAGTGAAATCTCTTTTCGCTTCTGGCTTTTTCTGTAGTGTTTTGCTGAGTGAATGCAAACGCTTCATGGCTTGTAACAGGGAGTTACAAGGCAAAACACGTCTGGGTGTGCGAAAGGGGAGAGGCCACCCAACTGTGATTGTCATCTTGGTAGGCCTCTCTATCCATAATCTGTAAGAAGGTCTGATCCTCTATAGAGAGGGTCTGTTTATCATCATCTTTAGTTTTCTGGAACACTGTAATCCCTAGATTGTCTGTCTCAATGTCGGAATTGACTTCTTCTTTGCCATATAGTGTAGAAGAGCCCCAGTGTTGTGTTGACCTGCCAAAGTTTTCCTTGACAATGAAGCTGTTGTGACAGGGACTGAGAAGAGATGTGCATCCATTTGATAACACAGATGTCTCCAAAGTACTAATGTTGTCAGGCTGGTGCACTGTCCCCAGGCAAACTTCTCCTACAATGACCCACCCCAGGTCCAGTCTCTGTGCATAGGGGGCATTGTAAGGTCCATTGATTTGCTGGAGCACCTTGTGTACCTGAAGGATGTCTCTTCCAAGAAGTAGGATAGAAACATCTGGCTCAACAGCTGGGATAAGGTGAGCAATTGAGCAGAGGTGAGGGTGATGATGGGCTACTTCTGGAGAGGGAATCTCTGTTTTGTTATCAGGTATCATGCCACACTCTATTAGGGTAGGAAGTGGGAACTGCACTTCCTTATTGAAGTATTCAATGGTAAAGCCAGTAGCTCTTCTCCCTGTGGTTTCAATTGTCCCTGCACATGTCCTTAGGGTGTATGGAACTGCACTTGCCTTAAGGTTAAAGGTATCAAAGAAGTCTGACTTTGCAAGGGATCTGTTGCTCTGTTCATCCAGCACTGCATACATTTTCACTGCCCTTTCTCTCTTGCCAGTGGGATATACAGTCACTAAACAGATTTTAGAGCATGATCGTGCACTCTTGCCTTGTCCACATACTTCAGTGCAATTCGACATTACTGAAGAGAGTGCGGTCTCTTGTTGCTCCCTGCCCTGATCTTTCATGGGTTCTACAGTCTCTAGTGGTGCAGGAGCAGGGCCAGGGTGCAAAGCTGCAATATGTCTCTCACTGCCACATTCTGTACATTCCACTGATATTTTACAGTCTTTGGCAATGTGGTAAGTAGATCCGCAGCACTTAAAACAGATGCCGTTTTGTTTAAGGAAGGACATCCGCTCTGCAATAGGTTTGCTTCTAAAGCCTTTGCATTTCTTTAGTGGATGTGGTTTTTTTTGTGTATTGGGCAATGTCTGTCTGGGTTTTCTATTGTATGTACCTTATGGGTGCTTTGACAGTCTGTGACTTCTGAAGGTACAACTGTTTTGTGTGTGGATACAGAGGTCTTACTGTGAGGTCTGTGAGGTCTTTGCGATTGATTGCCGCTGGTGGTGAAGGTGAAACTAGGATCACTTCGGATTTTCGCTTGCTGTCGGACAAACCTAGAGAACACAGAAAAAGGGGGAAAAGCGATTCCATAATCTTCTTTGAATTTACCTCCCACAGACATCCAGTTGGCTTGCAGATTTGGAGGTAGTTTCTCTACTATGGGATTAGTGCCTCTGGCCGTATCTAGATATGAAAGCCCTGGCAAGTAGCCATCCTCTTTGGCATATTCTATCTCTAGCAGAAGATCACTGAGTTCTTGTAGCCGCACATTGTCTCTGTAGCCCACCTTAGGAAAGACTTCAAGTTTTTTCAACAGTGCTCCTTCAATTACCTCTGGGGATCCATACGTTTCTTCTAGTCTTTTCCAGGTCATGTTGAGTCCTGCTGCAGGGTTGAACAGGTTTGCTCTTCTCATCCTCTTTGCATGCTCTGCTGACTCGGTACCAAGCCATTTTATCAATAAATCAAGCATTTCTGCTGGTGATAAGTTCAGACCTCCAATGGCATTCAGAAATGAAGCTTTCCATACCCAATAGTTTTCAGGACAGTCATCAAATTGGAGAAAACCTGAGCTATTTCTTTGCGGATTAGATATTTGGTGACATCCACTGCACATTGTTGTTCGCACATGTAATCTTTAGGTTGAGGTGGTGGGAACACTTGTTTTTGTTCCTGGGAGATTCTAGTGCTTTATTTTTGGTTTGCTGGCAGCCACTGACCTCTTGTGGTTGATTGAGCCTGCCCAGGGGGTCTGTAGATCTTGGCTTGAATTCCTTTGCTTCAGGTTTAAGAGACTGTTCTTTTGTATGTACATCAGTAAGGTTCTGGACGTACTCACTTGTACGATCTGCAGAGGATAGAGGTTTTTCTGGAGCCTTTGGGTCCTTATGTTTTTTCACTTTCTGACCGGCTTGTTCCCATGTAAGCAGCGGCCTCTGCTTCAGCAACTGCAGCTGCAGTCGGTCGCTGCAGGATAAGCAATTTTGATTCTTCTTGTGCTATGGCAGTGTCAGAGCTCCCGGGTATGACCAGAGGTGTGTGACTGACGCAGGGAAACGCAGACTTCAGATATGTTATAAACAATATAATTTATTAACACTAACAATACATAAACGCAGTGCAATACTAAAACATAACACAGTGCAAACAAACCAAACCAACCACCCACAGATGACAGTACATACAATGCAAGCGTCGTCAGGCAGGCCGGGTCAATATCAATCGGGCAGGTAGGTACAGGGGGAGCAAGCGGAGAATGGCCGGGGTCACAAGCCAGGTTCCACAGGTAGCGGGCAGCGTGGTACAGAGGGTCAGGCAGAGGAGAATGGCCAGACAAGCCAGGAATCAGGAGCAGGAGAATGGTCAGACAAAGCCAGGGATCAGAGCAGGGTCAGCAACGAATCAGACAGGAGCAGGAACAGGATACAGGGCCCAGGAGAAACACACACCAAGGCAGAGTCTGCAGGTCTGGCCATCCCTTAAATACACCAGTATAATCAGTTCCAGGTGTTTGACTGGCTGCAAGGTTGAGTCTCTGATTGCTGGGAGCACCCGCTGGCCAGCCCTGGTACTGCAGCTCATAAGGCAGGTGAGTCCCACTATTGCTGGCCAGTCCATTCCTGACAGTACCCCCCCCCCCCCTCAAGGAGCGGCCTCAGGACGCTCCAAACAGTCCTAGCTGGGCAAAATGTTCCACCGCCCGGGTCTGGTAACTGGCGGGATATCAAAGACTGGCACCCCGGGCAGGACCCCGGGCAGGGGCACACCGGGCAGGGGCACACCGGGCAGGGGCACACCGGGCAGAGGCACATCGGGCTGGACTCCGGGCAGAGGCACATCGGGCTGGACTCCGGGCAGAGGCACATCGGGCCACCAGTATGACAGCGGGCACTGGGTCACCAGGCATCAGGTCATATGGCTCACCAGCGGGCACCGCGTCATCTGGCAAGGCAGTGGGCACCGAGTCACCAGGTACGACAGTGGGCACTGAGTCAATTGGCACGACAGCGGGCACCGGATCAGGTACCGGATCATCTGGATCAACAGCGGGCATCGAGTCAACTGGCCTAATAGGATCATCAGGCTGGATCAGTTCATCATGCTGGGTAGAGGCATCAGGCTGAGTGGAGGCATCAGGCTGAGTGGAGGCATCAGGCTGAGTGGAGGCATCAGGCTGAAGAGAGGCATCAGGCTGGAGTACAGGCATCAGGCTGAAGTGCATCAGGCTGAAGTGCCGAGGCACCAGGCTGAACCACGGAAGGCAGGTTCTCAGACGGCAGGCTCACCGGTTTGGATACTGGCAGGATGGTACTGGTTGGAAAGAATTTTCGCTTTTTTCTGGTTTTAACTACTGGAGCACTGCAAGTAAACGCAGGTCTGCAAACGAATGGAGCAGCTGGAGACAGAGAAGAGCTGGAGGATGAAACAGAGGAGGGAGCAGTTGCTACAGAGGGCTTTTTTACAGGGTTAAAGGCAGGATAGGTGCAGCGAGTGGGAACAGGGTACTGACATGCGGTAGATAGCAGGGCAGGAGGAGCTGTTGGGAATGCAGGAATAGAGCTTTGAGGAAATATATTAGAAGCAGGACTGGGTTTTTGTAGGCTGACTGAGGCTGGGTGCAACAAATCTGTCCATGTCTGCAGTATGGGTTGAACAAAGCTGAGCTTACACAAAGCCTGTCTGGTCAATGACTGCACTGCGTTTATACAATCTCTTAGTATCTGTGGTGAACATGCAGAATAATGCTCCAAGAAGCAATCCACATCATCCCCTAATAACCATACCAGGGACTCTACCTGGTCGGCACTAAATGGCGGCAAAAATTCATCTTTGCATTCGGGGGTACCAGATGAAACCAACTCCGCACAAATCTGAATCAATGGCTGCACCTCAGAGAATTCTGTGCCCTGATCTACTAGAACATGAGCGAGCCGTATACATTCTAGCAGTTCATCCCGGGGATACTCCTTCAGAGTTTGATAAGCATACTCTGTCATCAAACACTAGCAGATATAAATACACAACCTCATCAAGATCCATCCTTCCCATCAACAAACCAAGATGGCTTCCCTGTGCAGCCACTTCTGGTCAGGATTGGCCTTGGTGTAATGTCAGGGCTCCCGGGTATGACCAGAGGTGTGTGACTGACGCAGGGAAACGCAGACTTCAGATATGTTATAAACAATATAATTTATTAACACTAACAATACATAAACGCAGTGCAATACTAAAACATAACACAGTGCAAACAAACCAAACCAACCACCCACAGATGACAGTACATACAATGCAAGCGTCGTCAGGCAGGCCGGGTCAATATCAATCGGGCAGGTAGGTACAGGGGGAGCAAGTGGAGAATGGTCGGGGTCACAAGCCAGGTTCAGCAGGTAGCGGGCAGCGTGGTACAGAGGGTCAGGCAGAGGAGAATGGTCAGACAAGCCAGGGATCAGGAGCAGGAGAATGGTCAGACAAAGCCAGGGATCAGAGCAGGGTCAGCAATGAATCAGACAGGAACAGGGAGCAGGAACAGGATACAGGGCCCAGGAGAAACACACACCAAGGCAGAGTCTGCAGGTCTGGCCATCCCTTAAATACACCAGTATAATCAGTTCCAGGTGTTTGACTGGCTGCAAGGTTGAGTCTCTGATTGCTGGGAGCACCCGCTGGCCAGCCCTGGTACTGCAGCTCATAAGGCAGGTGAGTCCCACTATTGCTGGCCAGTCCATTCCTGACAGGCAGCTTTCTTAGCTGCTATCTCCTGCATCATCATGGCTTCCTTTTCTGCGTACTGTAGCTGGACATGGGCAGCTTCTGCCTTGGCACGAGCTCTAACTGCTGAGGAACTTGCTGAGGACATCTTGCTAGAGCATTAAGATCTGGACACATGTGACTGTGCATCATCTTGCTGGGCACTGGGGATGTTGTCCCTACCTCCCTGTGTCGGCGGTAGTGTGTCATCAGCCTCATACTTTGTTCCTGATCTTAGACTTATGCTGCAGTAATGGCGCCTCCGTTTATTCCAGACCGCAACGTGGTTGTCCTTTTACTGTTCAGCTTCGCGTTATTGAACTGTTGTATAACACTAGTCAGAAAGTCTAACAATAATTCAGAAGTCAAACGTGAGACATCAGATCTGTATGTATTCTTTGTTCTGAATAACTTTGTAAAACTACAACATAAGCACAAACAAAGCATACAGTACATTAAACATTGTACAACAGCTTCATCCCATCAGTGAGTGTACTCATGGACAATTCCATCATAAGTCCAGGAATAGCTCAGAGCTCCACTGTATGCTGCTTGCTAGATCCAGAAGCAGTCACGAAATGGAGGATAGGAAGTTCCAGGTTAAAGGTTACTGTCTCTATGTAAAAATTGCCACTTCCGGTCAAGTCCTGATATAACTAGGCATAATAATAACTAACTCTGACCACTAGATGGCAGCCACATCACATAACATTGCTGTATAATCCATTACAGCACATTACATACATTTATTTTCAACAATATGGGCAGAACACTCCCTATGGACGGTGTCAATGATGGTTTTCTGCACAACTGTCAGGTCAGCAGTCTTTCCCATGATTGTGATTCCTACTAAACCAGACTGAGAGACCATTTAAAGGTTCAGAAACCCTTTGCAGGTGTTATGGCTTAATTAGCTGATTAGAGTGGGACACTTTGAGCCTAGAATATTGCACCTTTTCACAATATTCTAATTTTCTGAGATTGTGGATTTGGGGTTTTCATGAGCTGGAAGCCATAATCATCACAATTATGACAAATCACGGCTTGAACTATCTTGCTTTGCATGTAATGAGTCTATCTCATATATTAGTTTCACCTTTTAAGTTGCATTACTGAAATAAATGAACTTTTGCATGATATTCTAATTTTTCGAGTTTCACCTGTATATTCAGTATATTTTTTTTATGTACAGCCTAAATCTAGATGCAAACCTACTTCCACTGCCTCTATACTGTCCCTGTTTCAATGAGACTTTCTGGTTGTTTAATATGACTTCCCATGGTTTGAATGAAGATTTGTAAGATCAGAATCTTTTAGCCTTGCTTTAGATTTGCTGTGGTTTTTGTGATACATTTTGAACAATAAACTGCTACATTTGCTCTTATTATAGGTACTCTGAGGACATCTAGTGACATATTTCAGTATGAAATTCTTTTCAGGATTTGGTTTTTGAATGACTTTTTTTTTATCAAAATTGTCTTTCTAATATGTTTTACTGTATTTATTGTTAACCATATACCATGGTGCGGAGGGGTTTATTTCTGGTATTGATAAATATTTTTTTGTTAAATTTGTAAAAACTCCCAGTTTACCCATTTTTGCTTATTTATGCATATAACATTAATACTCATATCTAATGTAAGCCCTGGTTCACAGTAGTGCAATTTTGAATGCAACTTGAGTTTCACAGAATTACATGACAAGGGAAATCACATACTAATGCATTACTGTTTTGGTATACCTATGTATTGTATTAGTCATTCATTATTCCTAACTACTACCCCAGGAGGATTTCTATGATAAGTTTCTGACAGGTATTTTTAGGCACTTTTAGTCATTCATGTTATATGATGTCTAATAATAACACACGTTTCTCTATATACTGCAACTTGTACCTCCAATGTCTCCAATTCAATAAAGGGGAACCATCCAGAAACACTCAATGGAGGTATCCCAAGTCTCCAGGCTACCTGTGCTGCCCCCAATCGTGGAGTACCCTTGACATACTTATTTATTTATTTCAGGTGCTTATATAACACAGTCAATTTACACAGCTCTTTACATATATATTGTACATTCATATCAGTCCCTAACCCTCAAGGGGCATACAAACCACTGATATTGCTAATACATTCCAGAAGTATTACAGTAGTCTATATGGAGCAAAATTTAAGAAAGAAACAGATGAAAAACGGAAGGGGAAAAGGCAAACATATTTAAAAGAAGCAAGCCTTCCCAGATTGGATGAAGTCAGAATAACATCTTTTAGAAAAGCTTAGTCTCACAAAATGAAGTAAATTCTGTATTGAATAGCACAGCTGTAGGTAAGAGCCCCAGGCCAGACATATATTACAGTTATACCTAAGGAGGGGAAAGACGGGTCCCAGTGTACCCGTTATAGACTTATACAAATTGCACCAGACTTTCTTATATTAGTTCAACACCCTAAATATGTTCATTAAAATATATTACCCATATGCTGAAACTATTTTATTCCCTTTATCTCTGCCCTATAGCAGAATTACAGCTACAGGGCGGGCTCCCTGCGCAAAATCGTGTGTATGTGTATATATATATATATATATATATATATATATATATATATATATATATATATATATATATATAATGTGTGTGTGTGTGTGTGTGTGTGTGTGTGTATATGTATATATATATGGAATTTTCTGCTCCTGCTGTGATCATAGGCCGCGCGTGCCATTTGACCTGGTGGTGCCATGATTTGCTGCCCAAATGATCAGCAGATTCAGACCAGTGATCTACTGATTGATCCCTACCCTATCACACATCATTCTGTACCTGTGTTTACATTTACACAGGTACAGGGAATGATGCAATCTTCTCTCCCTGGGTACATTCCGTTCCACAGAGAGAAGAAAGCAGATACACGTGAGTCAAAAACAACACACTTTTACATTAAAATCACAGCTAGGTCACATTTAACCCCCTGATCGCCCCCCAGTTAACCCCTTCACTGCCTTATCACCAGTGTACAGATTTTTTTTACTGATCACTGTATTAGTGTCACCGGTGACTTCAGATAGCATCTGAATGAATCAGATCAGATCAAAACTATACCAGCGTTCACAATAGTATAGTGTTCCCAAAAATGCAGCGTTAGCAGAATCAGCCTGCCAGCACCTGTATCTAGCCCCTATGCTTACCCCTCAGCAAGTGCAGTGTTATTAGATCACTGTCACTTGATACATTTGCACACAAAACCGCAGTGTTCGCAGAATCAGGCCTGATCTCTGCTAGCACTTGCAGGTACATTTTTTGTAGAGGTTAAAGCAGTGAGTTGCACTAGGTACCTATAAATTTAGTGGCCAAAATGTCCAACAAAAAGGTACTCTAGTGAAGAGGCCTACAGGATTCTGATTATGTCAGATGAGATTGAAGGGGAAGCCTCACTTACAGAATCAGGTTCAGAATAGGCACCTGTAGACTGCAGAGGCACTCTGACAGATAGCTCAGATGATGGAGTAGAGGTCCCTGCTAAGGTCAGGCGTACCCAACCCTGTTCCCAGGTTGCTGAGGTGGTACAATTGCATAATGATTCTCATATGCAGCAGAGTGCCATTACTAGTGCCGCTCAACCGTTTGGTGAACTGGTGAGCACCAGCGGCCTAGTACATCCTGGTCTTTCA